CTGGGCCATGAGCCTGTCCTGGCAATCACCACTTGATGGCCAGCTAGCCACCCTCAGCTGCTTCCTTCTCAGGACAAGGCACAGTAAGACACCGGGGTTCTGCTGGCCTGAGAAAGCCTTTTAAATGGAAGCCCACAGGTGAGATTCCCTGTTATAGGGTTTACCATTTTCCAGATCCAACCCTGACAAATCATAGCCATCTACATTCCTGCATACTGAGAAACCCTATCTGTGCAAAGTGACAGGGGGCCTGCCCCTTAGCTCAGTTCTTTAAGTGGCTGCTTCAACAAAGCAGTCAGGCTCAGGTGGCTGTGGTTCGATCCCCACAACACAAGCCAGCCAGTCATGCCTTGAAGGCATTCGGAGCAAAAAAAAAAAAAAAAAAAAAAAAACACAAAGTGACACACATGCCACCCCACACTGGTGTGCACACACACTATGGGACATGACTGGATGCAAAATGCCAGCATCTCACCCTGAGCCACAGAAGACAGCCAGGCAAGAGCAGAACCACCCATCTGATGAAGAGAACCAAGACTGATTTTCTGGGACTTGGTCTACAAGTGGTGGGTGGTTCTATAACTAAGCTACAGTCCTGGCACCTCCACACCTGGAGTTAATCTTGAAAATCAGGGACAGGGCCAAAGGTCAGGGAGTCTTATACCTTCAAAGAAGAAGGTCAAGTTCCAGTCAGAGAGCAGGAATGAGCTCCCATCAGGCACTCAGGGTAAATGAACAGGCAGGAGAGCCCTCTGCCAGGCCAGAACCCACCCTGGGAAGGTCATTCTGCATCAGAGACCTGACTAAGAAGGAACCCAAGACCACCATGGCAGAACAATGACCTCAGCACCAAGAATCAAGGACTACTGCTGAAGGGAGGAGAATGATCTCTGAGGTCACAAGCATGCAGTATGACTCCCAGGTGCCAGGGCACATGTGTATGTATACCAACCTGTGTAATGGCTACTCCAGCACACTACACAAAAGCAAGTGTAGAGGCCTCAAGGTGCCAGGAGACACTCTCAACTGCTGACCATGAAAAAGAGGTCTGAAGGAAAGACAGGAAAGTTAGGAGCCTGGAGCCCTCAAGATTGTGGCATATTCAGCAACCCAAAAGGGAGGACCTTACTGCCAAATCTGGGTGGCTTGGCTGCGTCAGGGTCTCCTCTGTTCAGTTTATTTATTTCAGCACTGCAGAAAGAGCTTCAAGAACAGGCTTTACAAGGAAGAACTAAGGGCCACAGGGGAGGGGACCTGACTAGGACTACGGGTTTCCTCATATGAGATTCTGCTAGGCCCACCAGATTTCTCTGCTCTCCCCTGGACACCTTGCCTTCTTCCTGGGAGGAAGAGCCCACCTCTGCTCAGACAATCTCAGCACCCTACCTCCTTGCCTCTGCATGACAGACAGTGAAGCAGCTTCACCTACTCAGACCCTAAAAGTGGAATTTCCCCCAAGGGACTCCTTCTGACTCCCAAAGACCTGAGAACCATAAGCAGAAGCAATGAGAAATAACAAATGAGCGTATATTCCCTCCCTAACCACTGCAATGACAGCCTCCCCTGATCCAGTCATTTCTCCCTTAGGTCCAGGGAAAAGCCCACCCACCAGCAGCTAGGCAGACTGTGATTCCACCAGCTCACAGGACCCCTACCTGGTCCCAGCAAGCTGAGAGCCCACTCACTTCCCAGTACAGGTACCTCAGCAGCTTCCTTCTCACTCCTGCTGGAGGGCCAAAGAACAGCTGGTGTTTCATCAGCCAAAATCTGTTTCCATTGTGTTTGGGAGCCCAGAGGCAGTCACAACTTCTAAACAGAAAACTTTAGTTTCCTTAACAAGGTTTATCTGTGCCCACCTGCGTTCTTAGAATCCCACTGCAACCCCACAGCTGGATGGAGAGCCCCACAAGACTTTCCAAAAAGCAGGTCATTAATGGCCTTCCAAGCTCTCTGCTCAAGCCCCAAAGGAACCAATCAGATCAGTCTCAGAGGTGCAGCGAGGAATGAAAAGCTTTACCAACTTCCAGAAAACAAAGTGACACTTAGGAGTCATGCTCCCTCCATTTTCGCAGGTTGTATAGTTTTTCTTCCTCCCCCTTTTAAGTGATCAGTTACTCAACAGTACCAGTATTTGTCAGCACCTACTAAGAGCATTTAATCCTCAAAGAAAAAAAGGCCACAGCATAAGAATGTTTATTATACCATAAAGATAAGGAGACTGAGGCTCAGGGAAATGTGGTAAATTAATGAAAGTAATTAAACAGAAATATGGAAACCTCTTTTCCTCACTGAGATGTCTACTGATCATTTAGAAAACATTACTGGTTCTCTAGGTCAGTCAACAAGCCAGCATAGCAACTGAAGCCCTCTCAAATTTAGTCTCAAATTCCTTCTTCAATTTTACACCATAGGGGCCGGGGAGATGGCTCAGTGGAATAAGTGCTTCCCCGGCAAGCACAAGGGCCTGAGTTCAATCCCCGGTTCCACCAAAAACAAAACAAAACAAAAAAAATTTTACATCATAACATGCCTTACAAAGTGTCACAGCCACATGAGGTCCCTCATCTCAAGAAAAGCCCCTCCCCCACCATGTCTTGCAAAGCCCTATGCTGGGACCTCCCAACTCCTAGAAAGCAATGCCAGCCTCTGCAGTACACACCAACGACGTGGAAGCACAGGCTGCCACACTCGCACAGCAGCACCCTCCCACAGGAAAACCCTTCCTTCCCATCCCAGATAGCCACACTTCACCCAAAGGCAGCTTCATTTCAACAGGAATCCCTTCTTCTCTTCCTGCAGCAACATCCACTGCCAACATAGCAAGGCCCCAGGGAGACTTAACATGATTAAAATGTTAAAGCATTTAAGATGCTCAAAGGAAAGTCATCCTTGAAGTGCAAATCACCAATTTAGGGGAAAAAAAGGAAAATATGGGGGGATAGCAAGATAAATGTAAATGAGATATAAGTTCTCAGCAATATTATGCATAAATTGCTTTAACACACACATCCTGAGCCTCACCCCTAAGTCCACAGTTTGTGGCAAATGCCCGCGGTGGGTTTTCAGCACTTGCTCCTGCTTATTAAATCTGTAATCCGAGGTGAGCCGACTTTCTGGGTTTTGCCAAATGGAGAATAACAGTTCTGCGATGAGTTATTTAACAGGCAGGACACACAGTGAAGAGCCAGGCTGGGATGCTGAAGCAGCAGGAATCCTACTAAGATTCCTCAGACAATCCCCAAAGCCTAGTACCAAAGCCTAGCACCCTGTGAAAAAACCAGGACATGGAGAAACGGACTGGATATGGAAGTGGAGCCCTGACTTGAACTAAAGAAGTGCAAACCCACAACTACAGAATTTAAATTCTATCTCTGCCTGAATACTCCACATCTTCTTATGTATACAGTTTACAAGTCACAACACTTTCCTTTATCATGAGGAGGAAGTACATTAAGGAGAGGATTCTGGAGTCTAAATCCACAGAAACAATTAGGAGGAAATAGTTTTCTATAGATGAGAAATTCTACTTGCCCATTTAGGAAGGATTTCAGGGCCTCTCTTTTTTATATCAGGGTCTACCCCACTAGGCTGGTGTGTACACCACTACAATTTCAAAAGCTGTGGCATTTACACACCTCTTTTTCTACTGGCAATGACTCAGATTAAATTTTAGGGTTGGCTGACAGACTAGAATCCCAAATCGCCAGTCCATGTAGAAACTGTTCATTTCCCCTACTTTTCCTACAGTGTCCTCACCAGGTCACAAGTTCTTCGATTTTATCTGAAGCTAGAGATCAGGCTGGAAAGGCATCTGAAGACTTTTAACAAAAAGACCTGGTTAAGGGTGCACCTACAGAGCCCCAGGGTCGTTCCGGGTGGGGGCTGCCTTCAGACCACCTGAGTCACTCTCAGCGGTGGCACACTGGAGGGTCTCTGGGTTCGTTCCCTGAAGGGTGACACAATGCCTGGTCTCAGGGCAGGGCAGGTAGAGCTGCCAGTATATTCTGGTGGGAAGTAGAGATCGCTGCTAAAGAAAGATCATCCCACCAAACCGATTCCACAGCTGCGTGCTCCTGACTCAGAATAAGCAGAAGAGCCACATACGTGCGATTTTAAAGGGACTCACGGCAAACCAAGCCATTCAGCACATGGAGATATTGTTTCTGTTTGTGCCACCCTACATAAAATAGAATCCAGGAAATTCACCAAGAGCCAAATAAGCCACCTCCACCTACTTCTGTCTATACTTGCTGCTACAATGAATAAGGCGAGGGTGGGAAGGAGGGAACCTCCCGGCGGCCCAGCCCGCGATTCCCTCGGCTTAAGTCTGCTCCCATAGTCGGTCCCCCTCAGAATTGCTTGTCCCTCCCCCAACGCGGTCTACATTCATTAACTCAAGACTTCCCTGAGTCGTGATGTCCTAAAGGCTACAGTCACTAGGGTTAGAGAAGTTTAGAAAAGATAACGCTGCTTTCAGAGCCAACAGGCTGGGCAGTATCACAAAACCCCTGGGCACAAGTGCGCAGCTCGAGCTCCCGGACGCCGGACGGCAGAACCCGGCTTCTCCGGCGCTCTGGAGACCAGGACGCGGGACCGCAGCGCCGCGCGAGTCCCCACGGCCTCATCACCGGCACCCGGCGCCCGCGAGAAACACGCCCCGCGAGGCCGACGCCGCGCGCGAGGGAGTGGGGACGGGAAGGCGGGCGCGGGGGGCCAGGTCTGGCAGGCAGTGGGCCGGGGTCCGGCCACTCTTCGGTGTAGGGTTCCCGGGCACACGCAGACCCCGCGGCCTCGGGTGGCCCGACCAGGCGAGCACGGCGGGACTCCGGGTCCACGCCGCGCCCGCTCATGCCGCCCTTTGTGAGCAGGCACCCTCCCGATTCGACCGCGGGACGCGTTCCAAGACGCAGCCCCAGCGGGGAGTAGAGCCCCGGCCGTGCACTTGTAGGGCGCGGGGAGCCGCGGATCAGGACCGGAGACCGGGTCGGGGGCGCACTCACCTTCCTGCCGCCGCCCGCGGCCAGCGCGGAGCCGCCCCCCGAGTACATGTAGTAGGCGATGCCCAGCACCCAAAGCAGTGCAAAGCACAGCAGCACGCGCGAGCGCCGCCGCATCCTCCCGCGGGCCTGGGGCGCCGGGATGGCCGGGGACGGGGCGCGGGGACCGGCGCGAGCGG